CGCAGAAATAGTGACAGGTCTGCCTATGTCTCATCCCTTGGCTGTAAACACAGACAGTGAGTGATGGGGTTAGGGGTGGGATTCATCAGTGCTGTGGATTCATCAGTACTGAATCTTACGACTTATAACATATCCGTAGACAGCAAATCGTCTGTGCTGAAAACTTATGCAACAATATTATAGATTGATTTTACGCCGCCGTTTCGTCGAGTGGACATTTACGAGGGGCTGCAGGAGAAGTTGGGCGTCCAGTTTCCGCCACCACATACACTCGAAACCGATGGTTAGACGTTGGGTTTTTTTTTTTGAATACAGGTCCGTCAAAGTTTTTCCCGGGTAAGTTGCTAACTCGAGAATCTGAAAAGCTAGAGGGCTGGAATTTTAAGGGGATGTCCCCCGTTCAAGTAGGTATTAATGAGTTCAAACCCAGCCTTCGGGTATGCATGGTACCTACGTACGGGCTCATGAAAGTTTTTTTGCGGTTAATTTGCTAACTTGGGGACAAGGAAAGCTAGAAAGTTGAAATTTTAAAGGGATGTTTTCAGACAACTCTGGTGGCCAGGCTCAATTATTTTAGCTAGAAGCATTTGCAGGAAAAACCGGTGCCCTTAGCGATAAAAACCTGCGGGGAACTATGCAAAAAAACGCATTTTCCTCTTGTCACTGTGCGTTTTCTGCATTGCATAGATGCAAAAAAAGCATGAGAACTCTTAGTCTAATCAATATTTCAGGGCATCATAAGAAGTGTTTTTTCCACTTTTTTTTTCAGAGGCTAACAAATTCTTCGACAAATTAGCAATGGAAAATAATGTTGAATGTCCGGCACCGAGAACTACAGCAAGATTAATCGACAAAGTACTCATATTAGTTCCACTTTTCTTTTCCTTCTTAAAAAATCCCCGGTTCCTTTTGTGTCTCACCTTCCTCTTTTCTACAGGCTGTGGTTGGGATGCAGTAGTAGTCTAGCACGTCACGTTCCGGTGTGAAGTTAATTCTTTTCCAAACTGTTTTGAGGGTGGTTGACTATTCCACATGTGTGTAATGACCCCTCCCCCTCCTTTCCCGGCCCCGCTCTCTCATTATTATTCGTGTACCGCAGTTTGCTTAAAATATGTCTCTTTCACTTGGAAATTACATGCTTCAGTTATTATTTATCGTAGATATATCATCTGCTGTTTAGTGCTGTCTCATTTTGTTCATCGTATATTTTGGCCAGCGGAATGGCCGAAATATTTTCGTAAAATCTTTTCGTGAAAAGTGGGATATCGCAATCCTACCAGTTAATACTCTTGGACTAGTGGTATGCCGTGTATGTAAGTGTGTGCGTGTGTGTATATGTGTGTGTGTAAAACTCTTAGACATATGTACATATTTATAAATACACAGAATCCTAAAAAGATGATACAAACAAGATGGTGAGGTTCTGGGAAGCCGAAGCTCCCCAGAGCAGGAATAGAAGCTAAATGGATAGGTCGAGAATGGTGATGAGTTGTGGTTCTCCTGGCGATGGGGAGGAGTGCTTTTATGCTCCAGGGGTCAGTGATTACTAAGACAGCGAAAGTTTAACGGGGGTAGGATGTCCAAAGTTTGAACCAGGGACAGGGGTATTGCGTCGTAGTTACGCACTTGTTCTTTATACTTTTAACAAAAATCGTTAATCATTATTTGATCTATTGTATGACAGAGATTAGAAAATGTCCTTCAGCTGGTTGGCGAATTTCTGGAACCGACATTTATATCACCTACTTATCTCACAGGCCATCCGCAAATCATGTCACCGCTGGCCAAATGGCATCGCTCAATACCGGGCCTAACGGAACGTTTCGAGTTGTTCGCAGCAACGAAGGAAATCGTCAACGCTTACACCGAGTTAAATGATCCAATAACTCAACGACTTCGTTTTGAGGAACAGGCCAAGGTTGCCATTGAGCTTTTCTTGTTGTTCACTTTTGCTTTGTATAATAATTAACCTGCATATTTTCAGTTCATGCACTTCATTTTGTTGCCAGTATGTAGAAGTTTTTAGGCACGGCAAGATGGACCGAAACATTTCTTACCATTGTAATAAACTCATAAATTTTCTAATTTTCATCCCTCACCTTCCTTTTTGGGGTTAAAGAAAAAATGGGAGAAAAAAAAAACGATTAAAAGTATGTAAGGAATGATTAAAGTAGGTAAGAAATATTTAGGTCCATTAAGTCGTATACATTTCATACCTTTACCACAACTGGGCCTGGTCAGTACGACGATTATGGTAAAAAAGTTTTGAAAGTTAATTAAGAAGGGGACTAAATAAATTAGTTAATGTGTATGAAAAGTAATTAGTTAATGTGTAAAGTTAACTTTCCTTCTCCTTTTTGTCTCTCTTTTTTCCCATTCTTTCCCATTATAATTGTCTGTTACAAAACTGTGATAGGTCCCAAATTTACTGGATAGATGCTTTTTGCCGGACTTAGTCTGGGGTTTGGAAAAAATGCAAAAAACTTTGACAAAACTATGAATTTTTTCCCTTAGCTTGCATAGAAGAGAACTGGTGGCGATTCTCTGTTATGTACCTATACTGATTTTCTGTCGGAATTGAATTATGAATTGGGAAGGGATTTGTTATTTCATTGGCGGAATTGAACCCCCAAGCTTTGTCATGAGGGCTATATTTGCCACTGAGTCATACGTTTTAGTTTTTTTAAGAATTGTATTATTAATAACTGGGATAATTTGGAGCAGATAAGTTCAGTTTTTTCATTTTTCCTTCCAATGTAACTTGTTTTTTTGTTTTATGATAAGCTGATTGTAGCATGATTGTAGCATGCAAGTAATGATAAGAGCTTAAATAGAGCAAGCATGGAACGAACTATGTATGGATGGATGTAGAAATATAGTTAGTATGGAAGAACTAAGTACGAAACAGTTAAGACGTTTCGGTCCATTAAGTCATATACGTCTTAGAGCAACACTGCGACTGCACCTCGTCAGTATGACGGTCATGGTGTTCAGAGATGAGAAGGAAAAGGAAGGAATGGAAGGGAGGAAGAATAAGTTAGGAAAGGGAAGATTTTTTTTTTACAATTATGTTAAATTCAGAAATAGTTGAAAAAGATTAAAAAGTTGTAATATAAAAAAGCGGGGCCAACAGCTGGCTGGGATATGAGTATCGACCAATTGACAGTAATGTAAATTACAGGCAAAACAAGCAGGTGACGATGAAGCACAGGTGATTGATGAGAGTTTTTGCACGGCACTGGAATATGGTTTACCGCCAACAGCTGGCTGGGGTATGGGTATCGATCGACTGGCAATGATATTAACAGACAGCAATAATATCAAGGTATTAATTAAATTCGTATTTTTATTCAGATTATTCATCTTTTGCTGAGCAAAATTGTTCGAAATTTGCGAAATTTGTGAATGAGAGGCATAGAATTTGTTGATTTCATTCAATGGCGAGCAAAGATTGAGTTCTGAGCTGAACTGAGTTATGTGGCATTTTTTG